AAGCTTCACCATGTAGATACTTTACTGTGCGAGTTGCCAATGTCCTGTCCGTGCAGATCGTAGCAAATCCTCTTCTAGAACTTCGTCAGATACAGCAGCATACTTACCAGAGACTAAAACAGAAGATTACGAGCCCGCGTAATGACGTACAAGTCTCGTTGTACACTTCTCGTTTTTTTCTCAATAGTCGGTTATATTTTTTCGAGAGAAATGGAAAGGCACCCTGCCGTTCAACAATTTTCAAATTAGTGTGCAAAAAAATTACTTAAATGCATTAAGCAAGCCAATACACTTGCAACTGCTTAACCACTTTGTCATTCAGAAAACGGCTACAAAAAGCCTATAACTCACGAAACCTGACAAATTGCGAGATTTTGATGGGAACACGGGACTTATCTCAAGATGAGAAGAAATTTTAGGAGGGACAATGTCTTCATCGACAATGAGGTATGCACTATAGAACAGTTCAATTTGCCACTGAGTATCAACAGAAGAACCGAAAGTGCCTTGACACCTCCGACGCGGCACGAAGGCTGAATTTGCACAGTCAGTATCATGCGATGGACCATTGGGTCCGGTTCCATCTTGGTCGGGATCTGCGGTAAGTGACTTGGAAACGACGGATGTATTCGCATTGTGAGCGAAGCGAATAGCGTGGCCTAGACATTCCGGCATAGCGTTCTTCGCGGGAGGGTAATAATAGAGTAAAAATTATTTTACTCATATGAGCACGACTTACTTGTATAATGCAGAACTAGTTTAAACAGTATCCACCGGCGGGCGCATCTGTGCATTACTGCCGGATAAACATTACTTTATCAGCAAGCAATACAGGCGGATCGGCTACGCAAACATCAACAAAAAGCTTTTACTCCGTAGTACAAAGTGAGTGCAAGTCCACATCAATAGGATAATAGACTGATGTAAAAAACACGCAATTTAATATTTACGCATGGCCAGCTTTTCACAAATAATTGGTTCGGCTGGTCGCTGCCAGGTCATTGGCCAGTAACTACCACGTCACATTGCCCCCCTTCAAGAAGTGCATTTCCTTAACAAAAGAGTTCTCTTTCTTTTTTTACTCCCAATTAAGGCCGACGAGCCCAACATTTGATTTGGGTTCTCTCCGGGATCTGAAGCGGCTTACAAATAGTTTTACTAAGCCATCAGATCTTGTACTGCGTATTTACCTAGTACTTGTGATGTTAAATGACGGCTTCAACGGGTTGTCCCTCAGAGACGTCGGCTAACAAGACCTTGTCAGCCTTTTGCCTCGTATTTTCGGTACGGCTTCAATATTGACGTATGGAAAGCCGTAATGCAGCTTCAATCATTGCGAAAGACCTAAATCATACGAGTTTCGAGATATCGTCTTCTTCACCGGAATGGGTCAGACAAATCTTAGAGCTAGCTTCTTCAACTGTGCATTCCCCTTGCGGCAGATGTCTATAGTCTTCCAGTCAAGAAGCCCGATTTCACCAGCTGCAAAGTTTTGGATAAGTCTGTTTTTGTCTTCATGCTCCGTTAAATTTCAATCATACGGTCATGTACTACTACCTTGAAGCAGACCCCTTGCCGGAATTAGAATTCTTTTATTGCATTCGTTAGTTCGAACGCCTCTGCGTTCGACCCACGTTACCTAGTCTTGGAACCGCATTCACTCAGAATCGACGCTTGGCTAGCTTGATGTCGAGTTTCTGCTCTTCTCATCTTTTCATGATTCTGTTTAAGGCGACCCAATGCTCGTCAAATATTTACTCTTGATGCATCGTAAATGTCGTCGAAGTAAATCAGCTCCAAGTCATGTACATTTCAGGTCTTATGAATCCCATAGACAAGACGAGGTAATCGAAAAGACCGTTTAGAGGTAAAACAGCAGTAAAATGATATATCTGATTCGAGCAGCTTGACTTGGCAGTAGCCCTCGAGTAATTCTATGCAAGAGTATCAAAAGCTACCGGCTCTTGCATCAAAGTGTCTTGTTTGCGAGTCATCGAAAATAAAACCGTAGCCCAATTTAACATACGATAGTCGTGCAAGATTTGCTACCCGACTTTGCACAAAACGCTGGCGCACTCGGTCGGATAATGCCAGCTTGATCCATCTCTCAGGTCCAATTCTGTCTCGCTTTCTCTGATCGAATGTTTGGCGCTACTTTCTCACCGAAATAGGCGTATGAACCAGATATGAGCAGAATTTCATGCTCAATACCGGAATACTAAAATTCCGTGTGGAGAAGTGTATTACCTACGTTACGTTTTATACACAGTGTTGCATCCATCCTTGGTGCTCGAAGCGTAATTCCCATTCCGAAGCATGTAGATTGATGCAAACACTGCTTCAATGTCCTCATCTTTACAGAAGTTTTTTGCGATAATGTAAGCTTTTTTAAAAGTGATTGTTTGGAACAAATTCAGATACTATTACGTTTTCTTAATTAACTTAGTGTAATCTCTCATCATCGCGACTCAAAAAAGCGCGGATTCTCAAGAGTTTTCTTTTTCTTATACAAAGGATACGTAAACTCTCGTGATTTACTTGCTTCTCTTCAAACTTCATGTACAAATTCCTCGCTCACTGGTGAAAACAACTAGTGGCTCAACAAGTTATAATTTGTTACATTAGTGGTAGCTCTTAGAAACTGTCAACTTTGATAAAACTGATCTGTAGACATTGGGAGTGTTGAGATTGCACCGTTGAGTGGCCCAATACGGCGGTTATATAATCCCGGTTTAACACGACGGATCAAGCGCATTGGTTACGACTATTAATCACGGACGTAATAACGAATATGATAAGAGTCGTTCAATGGCTTATATAAGTAAGACTGCTTGAAGAAGCTTCTAGAAGAATCTAGAAGGATAGGCTACAGGTTAGCGAGCTCAGGACCTCAAAAAATTCACTTGGGTTTTTACCTGTTATTTAACAGGTTAAAAGCCGCAACCAAGCCTTCTTCTAATCTACGTCTTTCTGGCCATGGTCAACAAGAGAACCGAAGTCCTCCTGGGGAGTGGTAACTATTACCACTGGGAGTTTAACATGAGGATCACCCTGGCAAGAAAGGGTCTCCTGGGGCACTTATGGCCGTCAAGGATGAGAACGACATCACAGAGACCTGGCTTGTAAACGACGCCAAGGCGCTTCACATAATCGCGCAGGGTATCGAGAATCAAAACCAGACCGAGATTCGGTAGGCTACGTGTGCCATTGACCCTCCGTGATTGGTACAATCGCTTGATGCTTAACAATCGTGTGACGATGACGCGTCGACTCCATGATTTTAAAAATGGAAGTGGTAGAAGCATGGGATTATCTGGGCTTTTTCGAGATGGTAGTAGGACTCCAGACTACGAGGAGGCGGTAGATGAGTCACGCCAGCTGGTGGTACTTTTGAGTAGTCTGCCGTCGGAGTACGAGTTCATTTCTCCGATTGTAGAAAATGCGAAGGACATAATACTGATAGTGGTCAAGGAGAAGCTGTTCAGGGAATCAGAGAAGCTACAGAGGAATAAAGTCACGGAGAAAGCGTTTCGCGTAAATGGAAGCGCTAAAAGATTCAAAGGTGGAAGGGACAATGAACAAAAAGGTGGTGTCCTAAGGAATAACGGTGGGTTTAAAGGCAAGTGCTTCAACTGTGTCAAGTTTGGACACATGAAGCGGAATTGCCCGGCCGGGAAGCGACTTAAAAGCGACGACGAGATGTTTGTTGTCGGTGAAGGAAGATCAGCAGGAAGTTGCTCGACAGTGGACCACATGGCCCCGCACAGATAAACCTTGTTCGAATACACGGGCCTTGAAGCAAGCATTGAAGTGACAATTTCAGACGGCAAAGTTGATCGTCAAAGGAGCCGGCACGGTGAAATTGACCGGTTTGGACGAAAAGATTATTCGCATGATCAGGACTCGACAGAAGATTACTGTCAGTCGGTAAGCTTGGGCAGCGTGTCATAAATGTGGAGTTCTCGCGTTCGTCAATCGTCATCTGCAACAAGGATCAAGTAATTGCGTCGGGTACAAGAATCGCAACGGTATATATGCTTGATTGTGAGCAAGAAAAATAATGTCTTTTGGAGTTATCCGGGGGTGACAATCAGAGGGAGCTTTGGCATGCTCTCATGGGACACACAAGCAAGGATGCGCTGGTCAAGTCGCAACGCTCGACGAAAGGCATCTCACTAATAAAGCAAGATACGGAAACGTTATGTGCCGAATGTTTGAAGAGTAAGCAGACACTCACCACATTTCCTTCACATACAATGACGAAGACAACGGGTGTACTCGAGCGCGTGCACACAGATATCCTGGGGCCAATGAGGACTCTATCGAAGGGTGGTGCCAAGTTCATTTTAACGTCTGTGAATGGTTTTGCATGGAATGTGGCGATATTTATGATCAAGAGCAAGAGAGAAGTGGCTGGAAAGTTCAAGAAATTCAAGCTTTCATATGAAAAATCGATGGGTACACGTCTGAAGGGTTTGCGATCTGGCAACGGAACAGAGTTTGCACACAAGACAATGGCTGATATACGTCAACAAAGCGGATGCACCAGCGTTCTATTCCATACAACTCTCAGCAAAGCGGAGTGGTAGAGCGTGTAAACAGGACAATCATGGAGAGGGTCCGGAGTATGCTACATTACAAGGCTGATTCGACATAATGGTGGGCGGAAGCGGTGAATACTGCGGTTTACCAAATTAACCGCTCCTTCAATACAGCCCATCCTGATATCACGCCGTACAAATTGGCCTTCAAGGTGAAGCCCCGAATGGACCACTTGCGCGTTTTCTCTCGCAAGGTTACGCTCATGTCGACAATGTAAAAAGGACTAAGCTTGAGCCTAAGAGTTTCAAGTTTATGTTTCTTGGCTACGCGAAAAATATCATAGGCTATCGTGTGTTTGACAAAAGTGATCAACTGTGTGAAGTTGGATGAGCGTGGAGTCGATGGCGTCTACGACACTCAAGCGATGAAGCCAGAAACAATCGATTAAGTAATCAAGGACAATGAGTCAGGATTCAGCATGAAGTGGATAGACAGACAATGATGGATAATCCCAAGGAATTTTGTGGAAATGGGCGATATCGAGCGAACGCCAAGCGTCGATGTACATCGGCCAATGCCTTCTCAGCGCTCAATCGAGAACAAGCTAGAGGTAGCCGAGTAGCATCCACCATCTAAAATGAATCAAGAAATTTGTTTGGTGTTTCGATCCGAGGTGGAGCGAACAAGATAAAGACGTGAGCCGGTGCTGATGATATGGAACGGTTCAGATAATGAAGAGTCAAGACACGGCAGTGATGGTCCTTCGACTACAAAGTGTGCTAGGATTGATGAAGATGGACTCATTGCAAAAGCTATTCTTGACGACGACACCGACTTACCGACTACGTATGCTCAAGCAACGGCAAGCGACGATGCAGAGATGTGGCGTGAAGCAATAAACACTGAGCTTCGCTTCCACGAAGAGAATCAAACGTGGACATTGAAACTACAAGGAAAGATCAGTCGCACAATTGGATCACGAAGGTTTTTTGCGAAGAAGTTTGATCATAATAGCGCTGTCGTGAGGTATAAGGCACGACGGATCGCGAAAGTTTTCAAGCAGATGTATGACATCGATTACAAGGCACGACGGATCGCGAAAGTTTTCAAGCAGATGTATAACTTCGATTTTTTTAGACTCATTCCCCGGTTGCCAACATGAACTCGATGTGGATAATTCTCGCAGTATGCGCGAAATGCGATTATCAAATGAAATAGCTGGATGTCAACACGGCTTATCTCAACAGCTAGTTGACGGACAATCTTTATGGATGTCCCGATTGGTGTCGACAATGCTCAAATGCTGCGTGTGTCAGCTGAAAAAGTCTATTTACATATTGAAGCAAGCAGCAAGTGCCTGGAACAAGACAATACCCTGTGTCTTTGTGGCAAATAGCTTTAATAGCTGCGGAGCGGACTTTTGTCAAGAGCTCCCAAGAAGGTTTCGTATATGCTGAACTCTATGGGGATGATATGATTATTGCAGCTAGAACCTGCAAGGTGATCAATGAGGATAAGGAAGTGCTCAAACATGCTTTCAAGATGAAAGAATTGGGCAAAGCAGAGTTTATTTTTGGCATGGAAATCACGACAGGTCTACTAGACGCTTATAATCAAGCAGAAATGATATATCAATGACGTGGTCCGTCGATTTGGTCAACAAGATGCCAAATGCAAAGATAACCCGTGTGCACCAGGATTGAAGTTGTCGTCGTCACAGTCGCCTACAGCGGTAGATGGGCGGTCAACAATACGCACGAAGCTATATCGATCTTTTATTCGCTGTCTATTAAACATTACGACATGCACTTGACCGGAAATTGCATACGTAGCTACGCAGGTTTCAAGTTTTCTGGATATCCTGGGCTGCAACATTGAAGTGCAGCTATTCGCGTTATCTGGAGACTACACGCCAAACCGGGAGCATCTATTGAGGCAGTGGGAGCGTTTAAGTCAAGGCGTACTCGGATGCAGATTGGGATAGCAACACCGATGACGGACGTTCGGTATCAGGAGTGATGATTATTTTGGTAGGTGCGCCCGTAATATTTATGTCGATAAACCACCGAACAGTTGCTCTCAGCTGAGCTGCGGCTGAATTTATGGCTCTCAGTATTTGCAAACAATATGTTCTTTGGACGCGAGCAATGCTAAAGAAGATGGGTCGTGAGCAAGTTGAAGGCACGAATGTATAATTTCTATCCAAAATACCTTTAATCTTTTACTTGTGGGAAGATAATCAAGGAGCAATCGCATTGGCGTTAACGTCGGATACCATGCGAGGTGGATTCAAGCACCGCTTTATTCGTGAGAACGTTCAAAAAGGACGATTGAAGATTGACTATATTGACACGAATATCAGCTTGCAGATATGCTGACAAAAGCACTCAGAACCACGATGCTGCAGTATATGCGTGAAGCTTCTAAGATCAAGACCAAGTCAGCAACGAAGCACAACAGATTGCACCGCTGAATGGCCCGATACGGCGGTCATGTAACCGCGGTTTCTTGCGACGGTTCAAGCACGTCGGTTACGGTTATCATTTATGTACGTAATAGCGGATATGATAAGAGTCGTTACTTGGTTTAGATAAATAAGATTGCTTGTAAAAGCTTCTTGAATGATATTGAAGGATAGGCCTAGAGATAGCCCAGGCTAGCGAACTAAGGACCTAGGTATATTCACTTTGGTTTTACCTTTTATTCAACAGGCAGTCAAAACTATCTGTCAGTATGCTTCAACCGCCATCAATTAAAGAAGCGATCATAATCTAGGAAACAATATGCTAAGTAAATTGAACACGTCATCCTCACAGTACATCTCGTGTGTTAGATGCTTCGGTGCTCCGTCATATATTGCACGCAGCAAATTGAGTTGTAAAGTGAAGCGTTGACTTATCTCTATTTATCCATTTCTGGTTACAAGCTTAGTCGATACTTGCAATTAATTTGTCGGCGCTGGAGACAAATAGTACGTGATGCTAATCCAAAATGAAAACAAATCATTTACCGTCCTATCTTATACGCGATTGTTTCTGAGACAAGTATGACCTTGAGGCCGAGATCAAATGCTTCAAATTTGTGTAATTCCAAATTTTATGTTGATCAATGCGCATGTTTTCGTTGCATATTTGAACAAATGTGATATGAGAATATATAAAGAAAAATTGATCTAACTCAGCTTAAATTTTATACAGCATTATCCATTATGAGCGTACATATCGACCTATGAGCAGCAATATGACAAATGATGAGTCATAATCACTTTTGGTATCGAAATAAAAATATCAATTCAATCAATTTAATATTTTACTCAATAACAATAGTGGTGGACAAGCATTGTCCTCCCGAAGTCACAGTTCTAGTTTTTATCATGTGCCGTGCATTCTACTTCGCCACTACCCTCCTCATCGTGACCAGTCCCCGCACAGCTGCTGATTTCAAACCTTTTGATGCGCAAGACCATGACATCATACCAAACGGTGTTACTGACACGAAGACGTCACCCAGAAGGAATCTTAAACGTAGCGATGATGACGTGTCACATGCAACATCTAAGGAAGAGCGCGTTATCATTCATGATCTCCTTGATGGGGCAGGTCAAAATGCCCGTTTGCTGTACGAACATTCCAACACAAATAGCATCGATGACTTAACCAAGGGGATCATCAAAAATGAAGACGTGGCCGCTTTCGCCGTTGTGAAAGACAAAAGAATTGAACTTCTCCAAAAGAAATACGACGACGCTGTCGATAAATATCAGCAGGCTGTCGGCAGGCTTCAAATGGCCATATCCGATTACGAGAATGAACACCTGGCCGCCAATAAAGCTGACGAAGTTTACCAAGCTGCCTCGGAATTGATTACACACCATTCCTCTCAAGCAATGATCGCTACCGAAGATGTCGACAGGGCTCTTTTCGCTATCAGAGCCCACTCTTATGAAGCCGCTAAAGCAGCCCAGATCGCTATTTACGATCTACAGCTCCGCAACATTTACCTCGCTGAAGCCGCCAAATACGAAATGGCCATCCACTCTGTCAAAACCGCTGAAGAAAGCCAATTCTTCATCAGAGCTCATTCTTATGCATTGATACGTGCGAACGAGTGCAGCGAAGGCATGGAAATCGCCCGAAAAATACAAAACCGTGAAGGTGACCGCGTCTTGGATCTCCGTGATTCTATCAAGGAGAAGGATGAAACCATTTTCAACCACCAGAATGAAGTCGACAATTACGAAATGTTAGCACTAAATGCCCATGCCAAGTCCAAGCTTTCCAAAATCAGGGCTCGTGTGGCCGACCAAAAAGCTAAGGTTGCCCAAGCTAACAAGGACGTTCTATTAAAGACGATCAAGCACGCTAAACAAGAGCTCGAAGCCGCTAGAGCCGAGAAACCCACCCATGGCCTCTAAAAGCTGGTAGCTGTTCAAGCCGAAAATTCAGCTAGGCGCAAACTGCTCACTTTCGTTGAGACTGCCATTTTCTTCATGAAGCTGATTTGAATTCTGCCACTCTGAATGTAAACAGAAAATTGAAAATTCAACACGAACTTATTCTTCGAGGTGCTATAAAACAACCCATTAATAAAATACCCTTCCAACACGAAGATCATTGAACTGTTACTAATGACATAATGCCCGAAGCGCTTACGCTAAGCCTCGGGACGACTTGGCGAATTTCTGAAGTGAATATAATGCTCACTAGGGTTTGCTAGAATTTGGTAATATTTGTATCATACACTACGCAACATGTTCTTGCTGGATCCTGGCGTGGGCACGGTCGCAGTTCCCTGAGAGGTGATCCTATACGACATTATCTCGTCGAGCATCCACGCTTCGTACATTACTGCCTTTTGTTGACCTGTCAAAAAAACTTTCCTCATTTGTATGGCAATCTCCCCGTAAACATTATTTTCACTACCTCCTTTTCTGCGGCCGACATAGTAAAGGAAAATGTAGATTGGATAACTGCAAACCTGTTGGAAAGGTGTGCGCTGCAAAATGTTTAAAGAGAATATGGTGGAAGCCTTTCTATCGCAATGTTTCTTGCTACGCAAGGTTTACTGTACTAGATTCATGATGTATTTTGGCTTATCAGCGTTTGGCGACAACACTTGCAAACAGCGACCATAATGCGCTAGTAGCATTCCTGTGGCCAACATCCAGTTACATGAATAAGAGCTTTGATAAAATAAAGAATTAAGCTACACGAGATTTTTCGAAAAACATATTCATTGATATGCCTGATTCATAACATAATGCCAAGTATGTTGGAAGGTGATGTTGCAGTTCTGAGACACGCTTGTACATACACAAAGCTTACGAAACAAGCGTCATATTCGACAAGTGGATTTGGTGCTGATATAGACTACCACCCTTGACCAAAAGACTTTAACAGAAACGCTACCGTGTTTTGTTATACGTACAAATCACACCATCGTTTTCGACGTGAATGTATTTCAAAAGCACCAAAAGCTGGTTCAGAAAAGAAAGATTGATCAAAACGAGATTACCGCGAGACTCAACAAGAAAAATGAGCCCGCGTAATAACGCACAGAGAACGATATTTGAAGCTGTACCCAGGACAGCTGCCAAAGATTAGAGTATCTCTTCACAATATCGTATATTTGGTATTGCGCTACTCAAAATGAAAACTAAATCATTATTAAATCCTTCTGTAATGTTACTTTCAAGCTTTGGTGGTACATTATTTCACTGACACTAAATTACGAACTGTACACTGTTGAACTATAATTTATTGAGACGTGGTGTCACTTTTTTTTCTGGCTCTCCGATATATCCTTACAAAGTACCTCTGACCAGCGGCGGAGAATACTTCGACATCCGACATGATGACGCCCAGCTCGTTTTGAATGGGCAGGCTCACTTAGATGCGCTTGCCTGATTGCAGGCTCAAGGATCGCTGTGATTCTAGCTGACTCAAAAGCGCTTGGATGATGAGTTCATCCATCAAATTTCTCGCCGTGCCTTAGTGAAGTGTTTCAGCACATATCTGTGTGGATCTTAGGCTCAAGCCAATAATTGGTTAAGCGTTTTACGCGTAAGTGTAATGGTAGAAAACGTTAGCGGAGCGAATCTCGCTTACTGGACGCTCGCAAAAGTGCTAAAGAGTATCTCCCGTATTTTGCGCACTACTTGAAGAAAGCACGTTGTCTCACAAATCTTACGGCTTTATTAAGCAGCTTCAGTATGTCAAAGGAGGATGTTGTCCGATGCTTGACTTCGAAAACTTCAAAGTATAACGTAGACGTCAAGGTTGATGTTCCCTACCTGCCAACCGCTTCAGTCTAGCAACATGAGTCTGCTGGTACCGCTACGCTACCTTCCAAATCGTGAACCTGGCACCAGGCCAGAGCCCACTCGATATTGGAAACTGAGCTGGAAGACAGTTCGTCAAAACCAATATGAACATAGAAATAACGAATCAGTTGAACACCGCTGGGGCGTTTGACAACCCCTATCACATAATGAGCCTCTATGCAAAAATTTAAATTTGACTATAGTGAGCGATTATTAGCGTTTCCTACGTGCAGCTGTAGTCTTGGCAGTCTCTATCAACAATTGGAGGGTACTGAACAACGTGCAGCCGACAATTCTTCTCTGTAGCATATTACAGATAACGGAAATCGAGTCATAATGTCGGTTCCGGTAAGCTTATAACATGCATACACAGTTTACCAGTTTTCACGTACCGAATTCAGAAATACGTACGCTGAGGTATACAAAATATTCGTACATTATTCTATTGTAATATCACTCACAAGTGCAAATGTACTGCTACCGGTTGATGATTTCGTGAAGCAAATGTCCGTGAGACAGGTGAGCAACTAGCCTCACGCTTCGCAGTATACAATGCTTTTGGATTTCTGATAGCTATCATATAGTTGATCCTAATTGAATCCTAAACATAACATTATTGTGTATTACAAAAGATGACGAGAGTCTCGGTTCCGCCTCTGAGTGAAGCGTGCAAAGTCTCTCTCTCTTTCAAAATCTGTGTGTTTGTTAACGCGGACTCATCAAGTCAATTTTTTTTTGTAAAGTGCACGGGGTCTCGTTGCCCTTGGAATCAGTCGTCATCATTTCAATGACAAGATGTTATTCTCATTGAGGTAAATTACACAAGTTGATCTTATATTTACTTTGGTACCAAATGAATACTATTATTGTTGTACCACTTTAATCGCTCGCCTGGAGGCATTCACCAGCTATAAAAGGCGCTGTTGGGAGACTTCCCGACACGCTGTCATGAAGAATCGGTAGAAGTACAGCTGGCTTCCACCTTGAACCACTCATCCTAAGCGCCCTGTTTTTGAAGCAAAAGTGGAAAGGATTTTGCTCTGAATGAATGAAATGGCCAGAAATCTGGTCATGTATCGCGCGGCGCATCAGTGCGTCGCGCAAGCAGTGTCCACGCTAGGGTGCGCACAGTAAAGTAGTCACTCACACATGGATCGCCTCAGATGAAGAGACACTTCTGACGTAAAGCAACAGTTGTCGCAAATGGTGGTGCCACTAATTAAACGAACAGATTGCGTTTCAAAAGTATAATAACTCGTCAAATGAGGAAGAAATTGTGCATTGTGATAGAGAATTGAGCCTTTTATTGCCGCGAATGTGACGGATTCTCTTTGAAAGCTGTAGCATTTTCATTTCCGGATGATTTTCACGAAAATGCAGGTTGCAGCAAGCTTCCGCGGCTACCAAACCACTGTAATGGATGTGCTGAATATCGCATAACATACGTAGTTTAGCTTCATATCGTGGGGATTGGTCAGTGTTCGGCGTTTGATGGTTCTACGAGCGCTGTAACGGCAATAGACCTAAGCTATTCTAAGTGACTTCGTGGCTACAAAGAACCGCCGTCCTTCTGAAAGATGCACAAAATGAGGCTGTATCAAGCCCTACGCCCTTCATGCTCTTTTTGCTTTCGACTGAGAGATATGAAGGATCAATTTTTCTCAGGTAGTCATTTCACGAACCCCTCACAGGAAACACCTAGTTCTTGTAGGGCCATACAAATCTCTTTGTACACACCTCGACTGATTTCTCAATGGCCTGTTTTATTTACAGAAAATGTAAAGGCACCCTGCCGTTTTAATAATGCTCAAAATTATATTCATGAGGATCGAGAGAGGGACCGAAAGTGCCAAGATAGCACGAAGACTGAATTCAGTTCACTAAGCTTCATGCGATGGACCCCTGGGTTCGGCCATCTTAATGGGGATTTGCGGCAAACGACTTTAAATCGACAGTTTGCAATGTGAAAGAAGCGAGCAGCGTAGAGTTGATGAGTTAGACTCCTAATAAAAGTCACAAGAGTTTTCAGCCTAGACATATCGGTATAGCTCTCTTCGCCAAAGGGTGATAATATGAGTACAGCAGTGCACGCAATTCGAATTGAATCACCATATGAACACAACTTACACGAAAATGCAAAACAAGCTCTGAACAGTACCCATCGGCAGGTGAATGATGTACCGACGAGGCGAATCTGTGCAAAATTGCCGGATAAACAGTGTTCTCTCAGCATGCACTCCTCTCTTCAACGCAGGCCGTTTGGATATGCAAACACCGACAAAAATATTTCACTCTGTAAGATAAAGTCTGTAACGTGCAGCAGGGTTGCCGTAGCGCTTTGCTGAAATGAAGCTCACTAAGGTCCCCGACTGATGTTCTATACCTGAACCAGTTTGAGTGTAGCGGATCGCAATCTGCTACCTCCAAGAGTACTTGAAAACCTTATCCAACGCAAATACACTAGTCCGTTCACAATAGAAACTGTATTTATTTATTTTTTTCGACAGAGCCGCCTATATCAAGAACCTTAGGTTTTTCTAATTAAATAGACAACCCTCAGTAATTTGCATTACTACCGGCAGTCCTGCCACGTAATGGCTTCTTGTTGCGGTGTAGCCACACCATTGCACGATCAGACCAACTTGTGTAATCCACACCTTTGTACGGTCACACCATCTTGTGTGACCCACCATTTCATTCACGGTACGTATACCCCCGATACACTCTGTGAACGTATACCCCCAGTACACACTGGGCACGTGTAACCTCGTTACACTCCCCCTATCAAAGTTGTGAATACCCACAATTCACATTTAATGTCGCCATGTACGAGGCTCGCGTGTCTGAGACACCGTTACACCCCTAAAACGATCTTTAAACATTCTTTGCTCAATGAGCCTTGTGTCTATGACACGGAAAAACACCCAGTTTAGCTATTTCTGAGGTAGCCCGCGGGCAGACTAATTCTTCGTCTTCTGCACGCGATGCATCTCCGGACAGTGCGTCACCGCTTCACGGGTATAACATACCCGAGTCCGGCAACTGGGCGATATACACCGCGGCCGCCACGGGCGACGGATCTCCTCGTCGAGAATTCGAAGGATTCAAGCCTGATTCGGATACTCCTTTACCAGGATGGAAAGAAGAAGAGGACGAGATGCGCAAAAGGCGCGACGTGAGCCCTGCTCGAACCTTGCGAACATCATGTCCATTTCCCGACCTCTCGACTTCCGGGGGAAGTGGTATTATTACCAATCGCCTCGACGAAGCATAGAAGCAGCAGTTGGAGGCTGCCCACAGGGCGGCTCTCATGTGTTCGCATCCATGTTTGGTCCAAGACCCTCGTGTGAAATACTGCTTCCGCTCGGCGGATCCCGATACCGAAGCGAAAGACGCGATCACTCGATTGCTGGGCGTCTACGTGGTCGGGCCCCCGGCCATTACACAAGCTACCGCTTCATAAACAAAAAATTTCCGAGCTCGCCTCTTTGTTCCTCACGAAATCTCGAAGGATAGGTACCGCGCTCGACTTAGAGATCAAAGAGGAGCCGCTCCTGTACCCGCGATGCGGACCATTCCTTTGGTGCTCGCCCCTGGCGGTACCGCTGGAGATGATGAGGAACTCTTTGAGCGATGGGTGCAGCGGCACCGAAATCATTTCTCGCTGAATAACTTACAGTAAAGCCACAAGGAAGTCAACGTGCGCGTAGAGCGCCATCTTCGATTGGAGTTTGCCAAACTCAAGGCGCAACGCCAAATGCCTGCGTATTGTCGCCCTGCGAAATATCGGATCATCCAACACGCTCCTGCGAGCTCTGTGGTTTCTCGCACGGGTGTGGCTACGACCACAGCAGCTCAGAGTCATAGCTTGAGCTCAGCGTATGATCCTTCGGCTTCCCGGGCTACTACCGAGAAGCGCGGGGGCGCGCGACGATGCGGAGACTCATGATCCTTCTGATCATTAGCGTCTACGATGTCTGGTCAGTCTTGCCGAAGTTGCACCTCAAACTCCCACGAGCTCTCGGAGACGGTGTATCCTCGCCACTTTACGAGATATTGGGCTCAACCCTGTCAAAGACGTCGACCTACAAGGCGTTCCACAGGATTATGGACGCCACCATTCTCATCTAGAAGAGTCGGTGGTGGAAGATGACAACTTGGTCGATCGACGTCCGGTGACTCGCGATGCTTTTCGAACTTTGGAGGACAAAGTCCGTCGTCATCGGCATTCTGTCGAGCATCTCTCCCAGGTCGTCCATCGCTTTGCGGAAGCCCTCGAAAGCCTAGAGCACTTTGTGCACCGATTGCCTCGCATTGAAAATTATCGTGCTCTGTCGGAGGGGCTCATATTCGTCGAGCAGGCGAATAAGTCACATCGTGCGACGAAGGAGCGCCTTGTGTCTGTTGCACACCGTGCTCAGAACCAGTTGCTGGTTTTTTCTGGGTAGCCGAGCGCCTTTGGGCGCCGCCCCGGCACCAACGCTTTCACGCTCACTTGCGCCGGATAACTATGGTCACTCACATGACATATAGTCGGGGCGACGCGGAGTACACCCATTGTCATATGAAACCCACGCGGCATGTATCGTATAGTCGGTAATGAAAGATGCCTCTTTCAACAGCTGATGTGGGGGATAATGTGCGCAATGTTGTATGTCCGAATAGATCACAATGGCTTAGGACATGGCATGTGCACCTTGAACCCTAAAGGACATACTACATTACTGGTGTACCCACGCAAAGTGTTATAACTACTGAGTTCTTCTCTACCGAGTTTTGAGACACCCGCGACCTTCGGACTGGTTCTCCTCTGCGCAAGTCGCGTCAAGGTTCATCGAAGTGACGTCCCGCTATTAACTAGTCTGGTTTGTCGCAGGGTGCGGAAGGCCCTACTGAGGAAGATCAGAGTTCTGTTGAGCCTCAAAGCGGTAAAGATTAGCAATGCCCGACCCCAAAGACAGCACTCCATCGGTGTTCGGCACCTCGAATCTATTCCCTCTCTTTCTCAGCATAGCTGAGATCCATTGGCTCAGGTCCGCTCGACGAGGTTTACAAAAGAAGACGGATACACACGGAAGACTTCCACTCTGGACACGCCACTGCGGATGCCCTCTATTAAGACGGCCACTTTGACCACCTCGGGAAGAGGATCGGCTTCCATACCGGCAATGAGAGTACGCAACTTCTGGACAAGGTCCATTAATTCTTTCTTGTTCTGTCGGGCGGCAAGAAAACGTGAACGCACGCGATATGCCTCGTGAGGAGCGAGAACACTCGAGAAAACCGCCGCGTCAGCTCCACCCAGGAGGAAAACGCCGCTTCGACCGAAGTATTGCACTCAAGTGCCCATTCGCGCACTCGCCTCCGAGCTTGGAGATAGTCAGCGTCAAGCGCTCTTGCTCGATCTGGAGCATGGCGGACGCCATGAGTATCTCGACCTCTCTTACCCAGAGCAGAAGATTCTCAACACCCACCATGAGCGGCTTGGGTCGGGGAGAGTTATCCGTCGTCGACGGTGGCGTGATGGATGCTGTTGACGCTGACAGCATCTGATGTAGGTGCCCTAGCAGAACATTTTAATAGCTTGAAAACGCCTCGACGATTAAGCCTAATTAATTGCATTACTACTGGCAATCCTGCCACTTAGTTGCTTCTTGTTACGTTGTAGCCACACCATTGTCTGATCACGCCAACTTGTGTAATCCACACCTATGTACGGTCACGCCATATACCCTTTCATACAAGGGTACGTGTAACCCCTTTACGCAATACAACAAGAAGCTCACCAAGCATCTCATCTGTAATCTACACATCATTAAAGTACTTTAGTTATATCGGTATACAGCCCGCTTCGCCGTGGATTGTGATTCGTGACTGTGTACTATATGCTGCTTGAAGGCCTTTCTACCCACGAAGCGGTGGCCTGATAGTCGTGCTGATTTTTGACGTATTCAAGCTGTTCTTTGCTTCCAAATGAGTAGCGTGATAATGTATACCGTACGAAGATGTACTTCTGCCACATTTTATATGCGTAGTATTTGTCTACATTTTTAATATCAAAGCTAGTCTTGACATGTTCTACGTCTGTTGTGTACTCTTTTTTTAGATTTAAATGTGTGATCTGACAAAAGTAAGATAATTGATTCGTTTTTTACGAAAATTGCATTTATTATTTCGAACTTCGACAAACTAAACCAAAATCATTATAAAACATATTGGTACTCAAGTTTTTCGGAAGAATTCAAGCTTTTTGTTAAAGGTGATAGTTTGATACAAATACCAGAAATTATCCCTTATTTTCCTATCTAAACAAATTCGACGCGCAGAAGCATCCAATGCCACAGCAACATGCTCAAATGCTGATCGAAGTCGACATGTACGCTCATCGTGGATAGTGTTGTATGAAATTTGAAGCTATGAGTTAAACTAGCTTTTTCTTACATATTCTCCTGCCACATTTGTTTAAATATGCAACGAAAACAGAAGCATCAATCAACATACGTTTTGTCCTTTTGTCCCCAGCCGACAAACTAATTACAAATGTCGACTGAACTAAACAGACACGAATGATAAAATGAAGTCAACGCCATACTCTACATTTCAATTCGCTGCATGCAACAGATGACGGAGCATTAAAGCATCCATCACATGAGCTGTACCGTAAAAATGACGTGTTAAATTTACTCAGCATATTGCTGACAAGATTATGAACATTATTTCATTTGATGGCGGGTGACGCATGCTGGCAAATAGATTTGACTGACAGTGTTTCGAGTTCAGTTCGATAAAAATTGACAATTTCTAAGGGCTGCCTGTGATGTAACAATTTTTTTGGTTGTAGAGCCACTCACCAGTGAGGGAGCTTTTTGAGATTGGAGTTATAAGTGAAGCAAGTGAATCACGAGAGTATCCGTATCCTTTTGAGGTTCAAGTTACTAGAATGAATAAGAACCCAAAACAAATGAGAATCAGCGTCTTAAGTCGCGATGATGAGAGGTTTTACTGGGAATCGCAGCAATATGACGAATGTTTACCAGTTATTTCTGATATCAAAGTAATGATCTAAACAACCAATTAGGTATTTTACTGACTATCAATGAGTGGTGGTGAAGCATCGTTCCTCCAGAGTCCCAATTTGTCGTATTCACGTCTTCCATCATGCCGTGCGTTCTTCTTAGTCACTGCCCTCCTCATCGTAGCCAGTCCCCACACAGCTGCTAAATTTGACCAGAACAAACCTTGAAATGCGCAAGACCATAACATCTTACCAAACGGTGCTACTGACACGAAGACGTTACCCAGAAGGTATCTTAAACGGAGCGATGATAACATGTCACTTCCAACGGCTAAGAGAGAGCGCGTTATTATTCATTATCTCCTAGATGAGGCAGGTCAGAAAGCAATTTTGCCGTACAAACATTCCAACACATACAGCTTTGATGACCTAGCCAAGGGGATCATAAAAAAAAGAAGACGTGGCCTCTTTCGCCGTTTTGAGAGACCAAAAATTCAAACTGCTCCAAAAGAAATACGATGAAGCTGTCGGTAGGCTTCAAATGGACATAGCTGATTCCGAGAATGAGCACCTGGTCGCCTATGAAGCTGAGGAAAATTTTCACGCTGCTTCGAATTTCATCACATATCATACCTCACAAGCAATGAAAGCTACCGAAGATTCAGACGGTGCTCGCTTCGCTTTCATAGCCCTCTCTTTGAAGCCGCCAAAGCAGCTTAGATCGCCATATAAAGTCTACATCTCCGCAACATCTACCTCGCTGAAGCCGACGTATACATCAAAGCAATCCGCGCTGCCAAAACACTAAAAAACGTATCTTACCAAAATCCCAAGCCTATGTGGTTTTACTTGCGAAAAAGTGCGGCCAGAACATGGAGACCGCCCAATAAAAACAGAGATTTGGAGGTGAACATGCTTTGAAACTCCTTGATTCTATCGAAGAGATGGATGAAATAATTTCCAACACTGGAAGGAAGTCTACTATAACGAAAAAATAGCCAGAAGAGCCTCTGTCAAGTTCCGTCTTTCCAAATTTAGGGCTCGTGTGGCAGACAAAGAAGCTGGCGTTGCCCAAACTTAAAGGACCTTCTATCAGAGAAGGTCGAGGACGCCAAACATGAGCTTAAAGCCGCCAGAGCTGAGAAACTCACTCATGGCCTCGAAAAGGTGAAAGCCGTTCAAGCCAGTAAATAAGCTAGGCAAAGACGCACAGCCGCCCAATCTGCTGAAGCTCTTTCGCTAGAACCAACAGTCACTTCGCTCGCTAGACTAAATTCACCGCCCTAAATATAGTATTAAAAAAATATCAAACCACCACACCAAGGTAGCTCTTCGTGCTGTTATCGAATAACCGATTGTTCCAACACGTAAATCGTTGAAGTGTTGCTGAAGGTTCCAAAAAAGTGGTTATGCTAAACCTCGAGATGAATGTTCGAAGTAAATATTACTTTTGTTCATGCTTTGTGTAATATTCGTCTCATACACTCCACAACATTGTTGCGACTATACTTACTATATCCTGGTGTGGGCATGGCCGCAACTTCATGAGCGGTGATCCGACAAGACGAGATCCACGCTTCTACGCTTAAATATCGATCTCCCAGTAAAAATCATTCTCACAACTTCTTTTTTGTGGTCGACATGATTAAGAAAAAATGTAGACAAGAGAGTTGTTCAGTAGGAAGTAAAGTACGAAAGGAATGCAGTTTGATTACGTCGTTCATAGTTTCTTGCTAGTTGTGGTACATTTAAGGCTAACTGTACTACATTTCTTATGTATCTTAGCCTACCTGTGATTGCGACTACCTTGCGATCAGCAACCATAATGCGCTCGTGATCCTGTGGCTCATTTTAGAAAACATGGTTATGAGTTTTTGATAAGATAAAAAATTAAATTACATGAGAGATTACGAAAATATGACATTCAAATTACATAAATATTTTCCTGGTGTATCATAATCAACAAAAGCTCATGTTACCTTCTGATTCATTATATATCTTGAAAGGTGATGTTACAAGTGTGGGACTACTTTTGTACATACATAAGGCTTACGAAACAAGAGTCATAGCCAAGCAGAATTGGTACTGAACCTGCACACCACCCTTGACCGAAAGCCTTAAAGTCATGGATTGTGAAACCATAAAAAGTCCCGATAGATATCTGAGAGTGCCGTGTCATCACGTACGAGGCGCAACAGACAGAACTTTTCTACCGTACCCAGGCACATTGATGATATCTGGTAAGTTTACGATACGCATAGGTCCTTCTTATCATAATTCGAGCATGTCTTGGAGCCATGGGTTATAGGTTGTAATGAAGCTCAAAAGATTTGGTGTCAGACACCTCTTTCCTCGTGGATCTTGATGAGCGATTAACGAACCTCTGCTAGAAAGCAGCAGCGCTTTTGGCACGAGCATGAAGTTGCAATATTAATGGTGCAGACACGTGATTATGTCTGGGACGTTGAATTTCATAGCCAGCAGCCCTTGGCAGTGAGCGCTACTTCTCCTTGAACTATACACTCTTTCGCTAAGTCTACGGGGTAAAATGAAGTTCATGTACTTTCCGATGGCCATTCCGCTAGGTCTGCTTGTTCCGTATACCATGTATGATGAAATGACTCTTCATACCTAAAATGGCAGAAGAAAGACTTGAACATTTGGTGCTGCCCCAGATGTAACAACTTCGAGTTAAACGGTACCACTCGGTAGTCAAAATATCACACTTTTTCTCCTTAGAATGTCAAAGGCCAATCGCTCCTGATGTATCCGATTAGTCTCCATACTCTACTTTCAGACCAACCCTTGCCCACAAAATTTGGACCCCGCATACAATGCGACGCGCATTATCATCTTCAAAATTGCCCCTCACTGTGTCCGTTCTTTTCAAGGAATATATCGACTGCCTCTCCAAATTTGACTGCAACTCTTTAGCTACTGGAGCCATATTTTCATGGTGCTTTACTGACCGTTCGGTTCAACAGGGAAAATTGAATAAAGAACAAATGCGTGCACTACTTGTATGAGCTGACACTTGCATTTTAAAGATTTTTGCCTATGTAGGTCACTCAAGGATATGTAATGTTCAAAAATATAATTGTGACTTTGGTCTTTCTTTAAGATATGTGTAGATGAGGCTGGCGAGAGTTTGAGACTTCAATTCGGCAGGATTATCATCTTTTATGACTTGTCGTGCCCTCGGCATCCAACTCTCTTGGTGAAAGAAGGTCCGCCCATCCCAGCACACGTCTGTAGCTGAAAGCTTTCATAAAAGTATGTAAACAGCAAGAAGTTGAGGTGATGGGCTTTCACTTCAAGGTCCGCGTCGTTTATACATTTGAGAATGAGACGATGCTTTGAGCGAATGTTCACTTTGCTAAGGCTGGCTTGCAGAGGGTTGTTTTCCTACTGAGCGCGCAAACTGATTTATCTCCTCCGCTGCACTTTTCACGGCTATTTGTACCCAAAGTGAATCTCGACAACAGCTCTGTTAGGTTTTCTTTACGAGTTTCACGCCAGAAATCTATATATCGAGTGACGACCACGAAGATGGAGATCTTCCTCCACCTCACGATGCCAAAGTAAACGAATCTTAAGAGTCTGTGACTGTGCTCAAACCTCCTACAAGTGCGCCAACGGTGGCAACATCACCAGTCCGTGCCACACGCGGAAAATACGCTTCGCATCATCTTCGAATGACGACGTGTGGCATATTCCACGCCTACCAGAGACCAGCGCTGGTATAGAGATCAAACTCAAAGAATCTAAGGGACCCCTGACTCGATCAGGCAAATCTATCCGTAACGTTATTAAATGATTCTGAAGGAGTCGAACCGTTTGCTCGTACCATCCAGAACCGGAAGCGATGGCTGTTGCGTCATCGCGGCCCAAGTAATCCAAACTATAATGTATGTGAAGTACCATGGGTGCAAACACGGCCATCTGGTCGCCCAACAAAATTGACAGAGCATTTTGGGAGTGGGTCCACGTCATCAAGTCGATTGCGACTGAGCATTTTCGCAAACTTGACGGACAAATCTTTTGTCGTTTTCATGCGATCGCCAAGGTGCGCGACGTTCGCTTTCGCTTTAAGAACTTTTATGACCTGTTGGTCGAAGGAGACATTGTTGTATGTCGTGGAGACATGGTGGAGTACCCATCATCATCGTTTTTGCATCCATCGTCGTCGACTCTCATGAATTGGCCCCAAACGATGGAAAAGAATTCTTCTATTGTTTCGACTCGTTGTGGACCAGTGGAAATTTGCAACCTCTCACTACGCAAGGAGTTGCATATATGGCTTAACAAGCTATCCAAATTCGTATAGCCGAGCCATCTCAAAAGAAGCTGAAGTTCACCACTCTTTTGCATATGGAAGTGGGCAACCCCGTCTCGATCAACGGAATTCTCGAAGGCGAACAATCGACAGCGGTGCCGTCGATGGCGTTTCCGTCGGCACTGCACTTGCAGATGAGGGACGTAAGGATGCATTTGGACGAGATCGTAGCATCCTCGAATGCAAATGCGAACGTGATCGCGAAGATGGGCTATCAATTACAAAGGCGACAAATCACTGTGAATTGAAGTGCGCCACGTGGAGGTGAATGTTCACGCAGCAATGTACGCTCTGTGAAAGGAAGCCGCTTGGCTTTGAGCGGATAATCAACGTCTTTGTGACAGAGCTCAGCAACTTAAGAGTCCACTGGCACGAAGTAGTTCAACTCGTGGGTTTCAACAACGCGTTCGTCCTCGCTCACGATCTCCGTCAATGCAACCTCGTTCGTACAATTCGAACGATAAGAGTGATGGATACAGATCCAGCTTGGTAAGTCCAATGTATATGTAATTACGGCGCATTTTAAGACTGGTGTCCGACGAGAAAGGAGCTCGAAAGATCCTATAGTAGAGATGGCAGCGTTAGCCATGTTTTCGGTACTGCTTAGTTCATAATCACCCCTTTGAATATATGTGGGTTTCCACGTCCATGATTCAATTTTTGTAAATCTTGCGCTTCCGCCTGAGTATCGCACCTTCGGTTATGAACTTGTCAACACTTTGACGAATATCACTCATGTCAATCTTAGTAAGTTGAGAGGCATACGCTTGCCGAGCCCCTCCCTAACCAGATTCTTGCGTGTCCCCTGTGAAACAAAGAGGAAATATCGGATGACAAAATGTAAAATGAGGTAAACCCAGTTGAGCATGGACCGCATTGTTGATGGCAAGCTCGACCATTGGGAGCAGAACTCTCCATGTCGTCGGTGACGATGCATTACGACTGCGCAGAATGTATATTACAACGCGATTCGCGCATTCAGTTTTACGATCGGTCTCTGGATAGTCCTTGAGACATATTTAGGTAAGCTCTAATTGACTAAAATAAGCTCGCCCAAAAGTCCGCTATAAGCGGGCATCACGATCGGATACGATTGACTCTGGTAATGCCGAAAGACACGATCGATAAGTAAACGAGAGCTCTATTACGCAGTAACAAAATCAACCGTTGGTGCGAGGTACACCATTTTCTTCAAGGGTCTACAAAGACCAGTACCAGTGGCGTTAGGGGGTAAACCAACGGAAAAGTCCAACTGACGAACTGCCAGCGATCTGCTGATACTGTGACTCTGCAGTGTCTCCTAACTGTGTAGGCAGGGCTTCACACGCTGACATGCGTCACACATGCAAAGGTACTTCTTAGCCCAAGCGTTCAATTTAAGCCACCAAACGTGGTGTGCAAGCGCTGTATTAGTCTTTTCTCGACCGAGATGACCTAAGATAAGCGAATCGTGTACTCTATACACCAACTTGTGCTTCAAGTCTTCGCTATCGGGTACGACAACCCGAGAGTCATCTCCTTCATGTACTTAGTAGTACAATCATCTGTCTTCCTGGGAGTATCGATGAGTTTGACCGCGAACTCGCGGAGATAATGACGTTCAGACTGATTTATGAATAGTTGTCAACCACTTAAAAGTAACAGCTCTAGCTGGGTCGTCTGGATACGCTTGCTGTATCATGTCGAGCATACTGGAAGTATTGCGGAATCACGGATAACGTATGATAGGCATCCGTCAAAACACTCCATTTGCCTGGCTTATATGCCACTGCTAAGTTGAATTCTGAAAAGTGCGACAACTAAAGGGACATTCGCTGTGACAATTGTGGCGTTTGAGTCGGTGTATGCAGCGAGCGTTGTGCGGAAAAATGACTAATAGCTTGGATCACAAGAGGCGAGCCCCAAACTTCACCAAAGCATATTTAATTGCTAACAATGATTTAAAGTGAACGGGATAATTACGTTTAGCTGTCTCCAGCTGACTCGACTGATGCGAGATGATATGTTCTTGCACATTAACATCTTGCTGCAACAATGCACATTCGATTGCAAAGTCGAAGGCGTAATATTGGTGTTGCCTGCAAGCTGTGCTTGATTTCGTTAAAATTCTGCACATCCAATTTTTTATGAGCACTCTTGATCTTTATAACAAGTCCGATAACGGCCGTGCCATGTCGGCATAATTTTAAGTATACCGATGGAAATACTTGACCAGACCCAACACTTTCCTCAGATCCTTCTGGATTATTGACGTCGGCTCATTCTAAGATCGCTTTGAGCTTCGCTGGGCCTACCTAAAAACCGTCGACGCCAACAGAACAGCACAAAACTAATACTTTTCGGCGCCGAATATATATCTATGCTGGCAAAGAGCTGATGTTCTGTCCTACAGGCCAACACCTGTTCCAGGTGCTCGAGATGAATTAGATCGATAGATCGGCCTGTTTTCCTGTTTTAAATGGACAAGGATGTCATCGAAATACGTCGACGCAAATAATCGCAATGGAAGGAACAAGTGCGAAACGAGACAGTTAAACTTTGCTGCCGCGTTGGAGAGTCCTTGTGGCATCATAAGCCATTTCCAAAGCATACCGCTAGGTGTGCTCACTGCTGTATCAAGGATCCATTAAATCTTGATAAAAGCCATCCACTACATCAGGTATGCTAAAAAGGCGTTTTGAGCCAGTCATCTTGTTGATAATGGCATCGTTGCAAGGAATAGGGGTCTGGGCCCGCACAGGTTTGGCGTTAAACTTGCTGTATGCGTGTACAATGCGTCACTTGCTATTGAATATGCGAGCGCAAGACATCGGCGCACTGTAGGGATATTGACTTCCTCTCACCTTCCCATTTTGCTGTTTAGCAGCAAAGAACGAATCTATAATCTCGGATTGCTCAGCTGGTGATAGCCATTGACGCAATAGCATATATTCTGCATCTGGCTCAATCTCAATCTTGTGTCGTATACCACGATCTGGCTGAAGGTTTTGTGGGAGCTCCGGGCTCAAACACGTTGACGTGCACTTGCACAAAAGAGCGAAATAGGAATCGTGCGGACTCCTGAGAATAATTGATATGCGTCGCGATTCAAATTGCTGTCGAAAATCTTCGGCAACACTTGGATCCAGACAAGAGGACATATTAACCTCTTCTATTGCTGCGCTTGCACGATGAATCATAACGACTTCGGTAAGCGCGCCTCTCTTGAGGTCTTCAAGAACTTGGAAAAGGTTATTTTTTTCAGGCTCGTAAAAGCATATATATGTGGAAGTGGAGCCATATAAGCCTGGACGGGTGATCCTGTCTCGGCGCTCACAACTGAATTTTTGCTTCCACAGTCTGGAGCATCAGCTTCTACCGTTTATTCGACTACGGCTTTCATGGCAGGAATACCAACCGGAGCGATGTAATTCGGCTTGTGGACTCTCATAGTAGTGTTATGTGTTGGAACTTTAGCTTCCACGGTAGAAAAAACTATCGGATCATGATGTGCTCTCACGGTAGCGCTAGCTACTGGAGTCTTAATCTCCACATTAGTGCTCTCTACTGAAGTATTTGTTGCTTCTTCAATAAGTAGATAAATCTACTGCCGAAACCTAAGCCCCAGAAGTTAATACTACTGTGAAAACTCTGGCTCCGATGATTATACCCATCATGGACACTCATTACGCCCTTGTGGCGAAAGCTACTACGATAGCTCTCTATCCTCCAGTAGTTACAAATACTGTGGAAGCAACAGCCCAGTAGCAAACGCGAAGCAATAACTTGTTTTGAATCAACTGGCTTCGCAAACCGCACCGTCTTGGTGACTTGTGGCTTCACAGCTATGTCACAAGCACCAACATAATGAGCTCTATCTTTTATTGCGCAGTTGCTACACTGGTAAATATCCACACACGGGTCATGACGTCCGTAGATGTTACTTTCATCCGGGGAGCTACTCGCAATATGCCTGGTTCTCCAGTCGATCCATGGCTCCTGGTCCTCTAACAATGCATAACCTAGTATGAGATCATACCGATCATTGATGTCGATGACAAACAACGTCGACATGAAGTCAAAGTCCGAAAATTTGACTCGTAGACCAACTTTGATCTTCGGTTGCAAAACTCTCACACCCGTCGCAATATGGACATGATTCTACGCGCACACTTTATTGAAGAGGAGCGAATTCTCCGCAATACTCCTTCTCCGAGCATAATAACTTGACGCCCCGGAGTCAATAAGGACTTTAATGAGTCTTTCAAATTCCGTTACCAACGAGAAGGCCTCCCTTCTTTTCCACCTTTGTGGGAAAGTCGAAATTTCTCTGGAGCACGCGGTTTCCCCTGCACAATGTTAGCGAAAGTGAATGTCGCGGGTTTTACCCCAGTAGGCAACCCCGCGCCTACTAGGCCTGCCCGTTCTCCGACGACAGGGGTAAAGCACACCGGAAGGTGTTACAATATCGGCCTTGCAAAAGGGATGGGCATCCTCGACAGCGGCAGAAATTGGCCGAACGGCCACCTCGACCTTGGCACCCCGCCATCTTCCTCAACTACGAGCAGAGTAAAGTTGATATTTCGCCTGTGGGTTCGGACCCTGAAATCTTCGTCGGGCAAACCCGTTCCAAGAGGCCCACTCGGACACAACCATAACAGATTACCTGTAGGCGATTAATTGCAGACAGGTCCATAGGCTTAATACCATTGACGGCGACTGCACGCCGGCGAGGAGAGTGGGTAATCTACGCAACTGCCGTTAAAGCTGACCCACCTGAAAGACGACGAAGATTGCATCATCAAGCTTGGTCGGTTGTCGACGAAAAACTTTAGTCTTTGGGTGGCCGACCTCGAGTCCTTTCATAAATACGATTACCACCACGTCCTCTTGTCGGTCAGCGACGCTCGCACTTTATCAAGCTCTTGTACGAAGTCGTAAGTTGAGCGTTTGCCCTGACGATACCTCAAAATCATCGCGTGATGTTTATAGGCCGCACTTGGTAGAAATAACACCTTGACCATCGATTCTTGGAGAAACTTCCAAGCGGAGAAATAACCTAGATAGTTTTTACCCCACGTGAAAACCATTCATGAGCAGCACCTTGCATATACAAAAACGCAAATGCGACCTTCTGCTGTACCTCGTTAATCAGCGCTGCCGCCAGTGCCATATCCAGTAGGCGGAACCAAAGGCGGAGGGTTTCCCCTTGCTTTCAGAAGAAAGGCTTAAACGCAATCTTCAGCGGTTTTGGGTCGACTACTCTTCGTGGAGATGATGAAATCTTCACCCGGACAACCGCAGTCGGTGGAGTCAGGAGCGACAGGGCAACACGATGCACCATGTGTTCCATGATGGTTGGCTCCGACGTAAAGAAATTTGTGACCTTTGTCGAGACTCGCTCAACAAGGTCTGCCTTACAAGCGATGTAGGAGCGGACGTGCTCCTTGTCCACTTCTTGGATGATGGCTTCACCGCCAAGAACTCGATAAATCTTGCCGACGACGACCCATTCCGCATGGAACAGTTACAGATAGTTGGAGCGATCGAACGGTGACGGTTGGACTGTAGTAGGTGGAACCAGACATTCTCAATGTCGGCGGTGGATTGACTACAAAGTGCTATCAGGTTTAATGGGACAGCTGGTAACACGCACTCCTGCGCTGAAGTAGCGTTACCTTGGGGCTTAGTCTTCTCCCGTAGCTGTCGTACGCGCCCCTTTAACCACAACCGTATGTGGATGTCTTGATCAAAATGACGACTGAAATATTATAAGTGGTTTTATCGCAATTCTTATCTTAATCTATACATATACCGATTGTAACAACCTACAAATTAGAGTAGTGTACACTAAATTAACCAGTAACTAAGTGTGTACCACAAATCTGTGTCTGGTAGGAGTGCACGAACCGCATCTTCTGAGCGTTTGTTTATGCAAATTTTCAAGCTCAAAGAAATTTCTTGGCAATGTGCTCGGCAGCTTCCTTACAATATAAAGAAGTGACAAGTACATCGACGTTCTGCACTTTTGCACAAAGTGCCATCAGCAAAAACATCTTAATACGGTAAGGATACCGTTTTTAATGAAAGGATATACTTAGCGGTAACCAAACTTAAAATTTGCTATTACTTGATGGTAAGCACGTAACCAGTGAAGATGTGAATATGCTCAATCAGATATATCACCTCTGTCAAATTTTGAATAACGACCGTGTGTTCGTATGTGTGGTGCATGATTCTTTGGAGTGTATATTTCACTGCGAATACCCTCTCACTCCATACAGTGAAGTAACTTTCCCTAAAGTAATACTATGATTTGCTTAAGTAATTTCAATCAAACCACGTTTTCATGTCAGCAACTTACTCCATTTGTCTACTGACATGACTAGCAATTGATACAAATCGATTAGAACAATTAGATGAGTCTTTACATTGGTACATAAAGCATCATATATCATACAGAGTAAGCCTATTACAGTCTAGCGCCAACATGGAACCCGCAAGCAAGCACATAAACACCTTCATTTCTAGTAAATATCCAGACATGTAGACCATAGTTCCACAACTCGACAATCCGACTAGATGGACACATCCCAGTCTACACTCAACATTTGCATCTCGTAATCCGAGTCGCTAGAGCGCTCTCTGTACATTTAGTCAAATACTCGAACCATTGATTTGTAGCACTCTCGACTACCAATGATTTTAATTAGATTCACATGTTTTATGTCACAGTCGATGACAGTGGTTAGGTCTCGTATCATTGTATGGTTAGGTGCTGATGTCGGTCAACAATGAGCGTCGCAACCACAAGCGTACAGTACTTACGCACCCTCTCGAATCTCGCAATCCTTCTCTCGACCACCTGGTCGTATGATGCCGCAGTTTATGCCCTTGAACCAGCCGACGTAGGCACAGTCGTACTGCCACTTCCGTTTCCACTTTGAGTCGTACGTTTGAAGAAAATGGATCAAACAGCATGTTTGAGGGCTTTGATTGACAGAGAGTGTGAGACTTCTACAGTCACTCCAACGTTTAAGAAACGACGACGATCAAGTCAAAGTGAGAATGAAATTAATTCTGACACTGTTAGTGCTGGAACGACACGATCACGTAATCGACGGAGTGTGACGCATGAAATTCGGCAGCTGCGAGCACAAGTGGCCGCAATGGAAAGTGAACTCCAGCGACTACAATATAAGTGGAAAACACAGCTGCCTAGTCTATGGACACGACGAGCAGCTCAGCACTCGGCTCGAACAAAGTACGAGGTAGCACAAACAGAAGACGTACGCTCTGGACTGGAAGAACTCTTTCTTCATCAACAGCTCATGTTTGCAAGTCTTCAAGCGACTATTTTACATGGACCACTGAGTTCTAATTGGGAAGAAATTGTTGAAGGATTGCATTTTGAAACGAAACTGGGAGAGAATGAAATTGAGCGTAAGAAGGAGTTGTTTGCACATTACAAACGATCACTGAAGACTATTCCGTCGCATGTTGATAGAATTGCGCAAGCGGCAATTGACAAAGTCCTTGCTCGTAGAAGCAAGGATGACTTGACGAAACCAGTGACACCACTGTCGCAGATTGACGTCACGGGCTTGAAAGATAGCTCCCTCATTTCGAGTGTATTTGTTTCAGAAATTCCGAATACGACACTTGAGGAGGTTTATGAAGCCATTCTCGTGTCGTTTTTTGGAAACATTCCGGCGTTACTCAAGCGTCACTTTGGCATTCATGCGACTCGCAAGAAGCTTGATTGTATGGACGCTTCAATGCAGTATTGGCGCCTCTCCATCGATGGAAAGGTGATTCCGTCAACAGCCAATAACGTATTGTGTGCACAGCTTACACCGACGCATGGTATAATTCATGTTGACGCCATCGTTAGTGATCCGTTGCATCCTCTTCCGTATACCAATCTCGTCAAGTATAAAATCTGTGGTTTGACCGTTACACCGCAAAAAGAATCGGAGACGGGAAAGCCTTCGGGGGTGACACTGAAGTGGATAGCTTTGTACCAATACAATCTGCTACCAGATGATCCCGTACTTTTGATGGATTTACGCGTCATTCGACCCATTCTCAACGGGGACCTTATCACATCCTCCGTGTGCGAGTATCTGAGAAATAAGCAGCAGTCAAGTTCTTAAGAAAACGAAATGTAGCTTTTAAATTCTCTTAAGCCTATTTTTCCCTTTCTTTGTAGTACGTCCTCAAAGTGAGATAGCATCGTCAACTTTGTAAGTTATATGAACTTAGATCCAATGTCTTGTCACTTAAATTCGATAAGTGTCATATTATAAATGGAAAATTGCATTTCAATATGTACTCCAAGATGAATTTCGTATATCAGGTCTTAGTAACGCCATTTTCATCGCCACGATGCAGTAACTCGAAATCTTGATCGCCATTGCGCTTCCTAAACAATCAAATCAACACACATCAAATAAAAATATTTGTGTGTCGCAGTCATCAATTGTATGCATAATGTTAACAATTCTATGTCAGTATTGCATAAACAAACCCGATGCCCGAGTAATATCCGAAAAATGATTACTGTCGTTTTCTTGTGAGCTTAAATTTAGCGTATGAATACAGTAGACTTTTTTTGAAAAAAGCATCAGTATGCAAATAATCAAGTGCCAACATCGAGCGACACTCTTTTCTTTTGGACTATAGTATATGTATTGCCTACGCAAAATAATCCGATAAATCCGGCCAAAAATTTCAAAAGCATTGCCGAAATTTGCATGTTATTTCTATTTCGTTTGATAGCAAATTTTTGTCACGATCAAAGTTAGAAAAAGTCAATCAAATTACACAACTCTCTACTTATTATATATCGCTATCTCATTAATAAAGTAGTGATATTTGAATTCTAGTACCATTTCAAAAGGGATTGCAGATTCTCTACAACCTAATTGCAGATTCAAGTTGTGTTATACAAACCAAAGTAGCGTCATTGATAGTCTTTCCTGTCTCGGTTTGAAAAGATGAGTAAAGATATATTCGCAGATTCATAGTGCACAAGTCTTCGTAAGGGAAGCAATTTCATTAGTTGGTCAAGATTGTGTCGCGCGAAAAATGTCTTTAGGTGGGGAAAACAAAACGTGGGTGATTATCAGCATGACAATATTTTCTTCAAGTCTCAAACGCCAATACGCACCTGAAGTTTTAGAGTGTCTGCACTATTCAGCACTTTGCACATTGTGTTAATGTCAAAGTAGTGAATTATTAAAGTTGGAGTCGAGTGAACATGAGAGACGAGTATCGCCTCGTACACTACCTTGAGGAACGTGTTGGGAAACAGATTGAAATGCTTAATGAGTGAGTAGTCTGGAGAGCGAATCGTGTATAAATCTGCGATAGTGGCGTCACTGACTTGATCACTTCCCATCTGTTTCTACTTTTTTTTCGTTTGCTACTTGCGCGATCGTGTCGATCGTTGAAGAGATCGTGACGAGTGATTACTTCTTGCGCTTTTCCGGATCTCGTTCGAGTTTAAATTCAAAATGTAGCGCTTCAAACATTTTCTTTCAGCTCGAACATATGGGGATTGCCATTTGACGACTTGCGAGCTTGCTGCTCATGAAAAAGTTTAGAGAGCATGCTCTCAATCTGATCCGCTATGTAAGTCTGATAAGCCGACTTGATGTGCTTGTTCTCGTACCTAATATTTCTTGTCGATTCAGTGATTGCAATTAATCTCCCCCCTAATGCTCACGCTCGTAAGAGACGATCATTTTCAGATTGAGCATTTTGCTGTCGCCTACCTGCACTCGCTACGGGACCTTTTATTTAATTTCGCATCCATCTCATGCGCAGTGTGGCGATGGGGGTAAGGTCGAAATACAGCACTTTGAACAGGCATAAACACGGCATCATGTGGGAATAAGGATTACAAGGTTCGATTGGTCTAGGAGTAATACTGTAGGGACCGTCAGAAGGTTGCGACGCTCAGTGTTTACCAATGTCTGGATCGAGTGAATTTTTAGGACACTGCTTATATACAGGGACATGATTGTCCCTTCTATGAGATCTAAAGATAAAGTACAGTGATAATATAATTTGTGTATATAAGCCATCAAATGATCACGAAGACTCATCACCAAGAGTATGATAGTACCGTTTTTGCCAATATGTATTGCCTGAATACTATTCTTGATAGCAAGATCTTAGTAAAAACAGTAATATGCAGCATTAGTACTATTCTTGCGTAGTAGTATTGTGCTGACGAAGTTCGGGTATGTAGATATCATATGTCTCGACACGCCTTGCAGTCTCCAGTTGTTTCAATCTATACTTAATGATGTACATATACGTGTTCTCACTTAGTACAATGCAGCTATAGAATATTGTGCTCTATTTCGAAAATGCAATGGGAGTGGTGCCGACGACGCCGTTTCGAAATGCGCTTTCGAAACGACGCAAAGATAGCACGAAACACAATTCAGAGGCCCACCATCTGACTAATGGGATAGGCACCTGATCCTCTTATTTCATACGGAGGTGGCTTCGAGTTACTAACTTCACGTGCCGATCGTCACCTCAGAGAACTATCCACGATTTGTAGAGTTGTGATGCCCAAACCATCGTAGTGAAGGCTTGAATTAAGCACCTCAGCTTTGGATGCAAATTGCAACACATCAAATTTAAAAAACATTTGATATTATTTTCAAAGCCTATCCAGAAAAAGATTGTCCGTCTCCAAGAAAGGAGAACGGAGCTGCAACCAGAAGTTAAACGTAGCACTTGCTCAATCTGTGGGAGCAAAAAGGATAGGAAAGCGGTGCAATTCGTGATGGACATGCATTGTGAGCTAGATAGACCGTGAATCGAGACCAAAATTATCAATATTGGATTCTCGGTTAACGTGCAATATAACTAAGTCGAAGTAGACTTTGCAGTCAATTCTGGATCTCAAAGCACCATTGATTTCAATTGTAACCTTATGCTTAACTGCTATATTTACAACGATTGATCATTACAAGTGAAGAATTAACGACACCTCACCTGGCTCCGCCGTATCCAGTGCACTCCCTTCGAATCTTCATTTTACCATTGTATTAGTGCTGAGAGTATAAACCGTAAGAACTACAGATCTTAATAGTCCTTGCCAGGTAATTGCGCATCCTCCATTTCTTGTCAAATAGAAATCTTTACCGTCGTTAGCAGATGAACAGTTGCCATAAAATTATGCGTCAAATCTCATCAAGACTTGTACAACGGATCGTCATGATGATATCGATACGATATTGCTCATCAAACTTGTGATTTGTACCCATCGCCAATTACTTACCGCCGCTATTGCGGAAAAATAAACGCTTCGTTCACGCACAACGACTTCTTAAAAAATCACATGCCGTGGCTACAACAAAGCATAGTGTGATCTTTCCTATAGTATACGAGGTAAGACTGAGAATATCATAGCCGCCCACCTAAATTACTTCGAAGCTATTGTCTCGTTAATTGCTTTACGACTGGTTGTGCACTGCATTAGCTGCTAATCTACAAGCTGACTTCTGTCATTCATTTACAGAGATTTTGCGTTTAGGCCGGACGCTCGGCGAGAGCCAGAGAGCACTTGTCCCAACAATGCTTGAGAACGAAACGGGTACTTTATCAAAACGTGAAGCAGCTTAATTTGCAATTTATGGAATCAGTCGGGCAATCATTACAGCGTCTGGGAAGAGATTGGCAGTGATCAAGATGCAGCGCATGTCTGCGGCAGGGCATCTTAACGATCTGATGCTGAAATTTGCATCACAAGGCCAGTTCGTCTAAGGATTCAATTACGATACGGATTTGTTTTCCTGTTCAAAGCCCAGCTTTGAGTCAATTCGCGAAAGAAAAACAGTCGAGTCTTAGGGGTCATCGCGCCATCAGAAAATCATGATATGAGTGACATGTGAGCATCATTTATTGCTGATCTCTCGAACCATGCCAAGGTCAAAGAAATCAAATTCTTCACTTCACACCCTACATTCAAGTTATCATGTGACTAAATTATTTGAAGCAATCCTTGCAAGGACTTTGAAATACACTGACATTTGATATCTGCTCCCATTGCCTTCGTAAACGCAATTTGACAAAATGATTATTTTGAGCTTTGTAACAAGAGCACAATGCGACGTATACGATCAAGTATGTGATGTGCAGCAGGCCAAAGACGTTTTCATTGTTGGTTGAGTCAATCATTGGAAAATAGCATTCGCTAAAAACAATTGTTGGATGCAGTGCTTAAAGCTTGGTACGAACGAAACGAAATTTAGTCATGATATTATTTTTAAACACCTTAAAGGCTGCATGACGGCCATATCAACGAAAGAAACTTCAAATAGGCGGCTGAGCATTTCATGATGTAAAAATGGTTGGTCCCAAGTTTGTACTTGCTTTTTAAATCTTATACAGACAGCTGTACAGGAAAGGTAATTCCATGGTTTTTAGATGGCATTAAAATGTTTACAAACCACCCCACTCACGTGGAGTCTGTCGTGCGTATTACCATGTCTACTAAAGTTCTTACTTTCAGCTATCAGTTCGACAATCTTTTGAGGGAATTTATTCATTAACACACCACTGCAGATCTTGCTGGCAGCGGTAGAATGAGGATCTGACGTTAAATAGCTGCATATCCTTCTGTGGTTTGTGCTTTGGATAGAGAAAATGCTAAAGAACAAGTTTAGGAACTTTGCAATATTCAAAATGCAATTGAATCCACTTGTGTTAAATATCACGATTATCGATGCAGACAAGGGCTCACAGCTGTACTAGACTTGATTGTTTCAAAGCAACCTCGCTAACGGCAATCAGACTATCTCTGTTCCTCAAGTTATGAGTCAACGCATAGGGTATACTTTATTAACGGAGCTACTTTAAATATAGACACCAGCTGCGTTGGGCAAACACTACCCACCAACGTAGTTAATTTTAAACTTAAATGTAGACATGACACATGAGCTTTTACCAATAAGACTGGTCGTAAAATACAGTACTATGAAGCAGCCTGTTTATTAAGTATCACCGATCGCTCCATCATCCACTCCGGCTTTTCGCGGGTTTGCCATCAGCTGCTACACCTGGATAAGAATGTGTGCCGCGAGCGTACCAAATAGATACGTTCAGTACGATCCGCATGCGCTGGTATAACAGAGATTAAAGTTTGACTACTACTGAGAGGTCTTTGTGAAAGACAAAAAGCATAGTAGAGAGTTGTCAGTCGATCCAATTGCAATATTTGTGAAGGTCTGAAGTGATCTTATTTTTCAAGCATCAAATTATGTTATTTCGTGAATATGTAATTTCATTTACTAATTATGGAATGTCTATACGTACATTAAGTCTGCTGGCTGCCCTTGGAGATGAGGCTACTATACTGGCTCAGTCAATGAGCGTATCATACTTGAAGTCTTCATACCCATGGCTCACAATGTTACTCTCTAAAATTCATCTGTCATCCCTGGCTCGCGTCACAATTATCATGTACCTTAGTATTTTTACAGCCAGTGATTGACGTCTCAAGTACAATATACGTGTCCATCCGCCAGCCGACATAAGTTCTCGGAGATTTCATCACCCTCTGCTCCAATTCATTTAGTTTAAAATCTACCTGCTCGACTACACTTTTAACGTTCATGAGCGCCGAGCCTACGACTGATGTCTCCACTACCTGATATGAACTCGCCTACTTACTCGACAGCACCAAGTAGTCCAGAGATTCATTCTATTCCCAGGTGTGCGAAAAAGCGCCAGCGTCTGATGTCAAATCGTGATGATCACGAAGAGCTCATATATGCCCTCACAGGAGTGAGTCCTACGCCTCAGCGGCGCCGCGCGGCGAATGGAGCACCACTTAGTGCCACGAACGAGATTCGACTCTTGCGGTCTCAAGTAGCTGATATGGAAGAAGAACTTCGTCAACTACGTACTAAGTGGGCAGCCGAGATTCCTGACTACCGCATGCTCGTAATTGCTCAACGTTCGGCTAAAGAAAAACATGAAGCTATTCAAGTTGAAACAGCACACAAAGAATTACAGCAAATGCTCCTACAACAACAATTGCGCTTTGCTACGCTCCAATCGGCAGTTCTTCGCGCGCCATTACAGTCAAGTGGTCAAGCGATTTTTGAGGCCCTTCACTTTAATACGCAACTTGGACGTGATGTGGAAGAGCGGGAGAAGCTGCTTGAGGCTCACAATTCGCGGTCTCGTTCGATGATTCCGTCAATTGTTTACCGATTTACTCAAATGGCTATTGAGCGAACACTCAAGGTTTCAATTGGGCATTGCTCTAAGCCAGTCTTGCCGCTGTCGCAGATCAATATCACAGGCTGTAAGGACTGGACTCTCATTTCAAGTGTTTTTGTATCTGAGATCCCCCATTCATCTCTTGAGGATGTCTACGAAGCTGTATTGGCCTACTTTGATGGCATTCCAACGTCAATGAAACGTCATTTTAATGTCAATGCTCAACGCGTTCGACTAAATCGCGTCGACTCGCCTGTTGTATACCGTCGCTCGACATTCCATGGGGCAGGACTACCTGCAACAGTTAATAACGTGGTCTGCTCGGAACTCACGCCAACAGTTGGGATGGTTCACGTCGACGCAATTACGGATGATCCATTGTACCCAGTGCATCGAACTATACCGTCGCAATACGGTATCTGTGGGCTCACTCTCACGCCTTGTACAGATCCCGTCACGAACAAAACTATATCTGTGACATTACGATGGATGGTTGTGTACCATTACAATTTGTTACCCGATGACCCAGCCATTAAAAAGGATCTTGAGATCATCCGACCTATTTTGAACGGTGATCTTATCACATCTATAGTGTGTGGATACATTCAAAAACAGCAGAAAAGTCCTCACTAAAGGGATGGATATATGATGTAAAGTAGGAAATGTAGTTATGGTTGCTGTTTTTTATCAGAGTGCTATTAGCTAAGCTACCAATGCTAAATTTTTTCATTTAAGGGGACAATTTGGAACTTATATTGTAACTTAAAGCTGGCCGTACATAATTTAAGTTTAGGCAATTTTTATATCCCAAAAAGAGAAAATTTGTAGAAAATTAAAATTAAGTTCGACATTTTGTCATTCGAAATGCATAACCCTTTAAATTTCATGAATTGGACACATTCGTGGTGTATCAATAGGATCAAATTTTGAGCCTCGGCACTACATGTAAATGTATCGCTCACGTACTATTCACTAGATTAGGACATCATGTAGTACTTTATTATCGTTTAGACGATTCTTACTTAGTGAAAAAGAGAACCGCCTTATTACAACATAGGTCAGGCAAGACACACTCAAACACGTTGATACATAAAAAGCTTATTTGAGCTCTCATATTCACTGTAAAAACTACATTGCCACCGAAAGGTAGTATTTTGTGCCGACGCCACGATTGTCGCTCTGCTAACACAGCAGTAGGTTCAACACTAAAGTATTGTAGCTCTTTCAAAAATTGATTTTTAAAAAACGCAAATTTACAATCACATCATTTGAGCAGACCGTCCAGCACGAAAGGTTAATGTGAAACCATCAAGATATGATGCCTCAGCAAGCAGCTGGTCATATCAAAACCATCAATTTGTTGTACAGAGTCATACATCATCAGTCAAATGAATTACGCACTAAACTCAGTATGTAGCTTTGCACAACAAGACCGAAATTATAAGGAAGTCATGGCTTAATGCCACTATACTAACTTACTTTAAATTATACGTCGAATAGTTCTGGGGTATTGACCAAGTCGCATGACCTTGAATGATGCGCGATCTCTAAGAGATTGAGGACAACAGTGTGTCATCGATGCGTTAAATTTTGAAGAAAACGTACTATCCGATCTTTTCGAGCTCTAATCGTCGTCAAAGCAAGAATTCGTAAGAAAAGCGAATTTTAAACTCTTTTTCTCAAGGGTCAACATCAAAGCGACAATGGAACGGGGTTGCCGAGCCTTTGCACGAAGGAAACATAAAGAGATCGCGTTAACAAACGCACAGTGGTTGGGTTCGTGCGCCAGAAGCGAATTACAAAGTTGCTCTTCTATTTCAAGAGGACAAATATTAGAAATGATGGCGTTAAGAGTAATACCGAATAAATACAATTTAATATATCTGATACTACTTGACATGGGTCTGTATCATCTTCATTGGTACCGATGTTTTGGTGTTATAAAATACTCACCTTTTCACAAAAGTGTCAAATAACTGTGCATCATTTAAATGAACGCTTGTTTAAAGTATATAAGTACCCCAGTGGACCGAAATTCTTCTGTTCTTGAAGCGTTCTGCAAGAAAACCCTTAACGAGCAGCCTGCACACAGAATTTCAGTCCACTCTTTGCACTCTACAATATCTGCTCTTACTGTGTTGGCATACTCACCTTTATTGAGGGCGCTCGCGTTAGGCTATCAGCAAATCTACAGAGAGAGATCGTTACATAGCACAATAAGTGATACGCATCCGAATCGCTCGTAAGAGCGTGATTGTGTTACGGCTCGCCTAAGCCCACCAAGATCGTACTGTGTTCTATCGCTTCTAGAAATGTTCAGGCTTAAACAGTCTCTCTGTTCTTGATACGACCATAAACAGCTTGATGTAGCGTGGTCGCAACTTAGAAGTACCGATCGCACACACAGCTTCTAAAGGTGGGTAAATTGTATTCAATAAAAGCTTTCTTCACTACATATTCGTGTCTGCTTCGCCTGCTTTTGTCATCAGCGAGTTGCTTAAAAAATATCCTAGCACCGACACAGGACGATAAATGTCATGAATGCGTCATTTTTGAATTTGCCGCAGGGAAGATTCAAACTTCGCAGAATCAATTTGCGCCGGATTGATATCAGCGAGTTTATCGACAACATAACTTATTCCGAAGTGACTTCGAAGCGCTCACAATGAGACCTAGGATTTTCTAAATTGATTATAAAAAGCGGAGTATATATTGTAAGGGTATGTGCAACAACCGATGAGCTGATAAAAATTATTCCAGCATCGCGGTCTCTCAGTGTAAGCCCTTCGGAGGACAATCAGCGGCCCATTCAATTATCTTTTTGTGAATGATCAATGGAGAAAATGTAAAAGCTGGTGCCGAGCGCTTTAGATGAACTCGCCAAAACTTTGCTGAAAACTCAGGTTGATATCCAACACAACGGCCATTGGCAAGCCGTATTGGTAAGAAACTATCAAGGATAAGCTTGGCTGTTGCCAAACCGACACGCGTTTTGCGAAATCAGCGTTATGAGCTATTGGTGAAAGTTTAGCTTGTTGATGCGGTTTAAACACGCGCACTTAACCCCCCCAAAAAGTTGTTGTTGGACATACCATTCATAGTGCTAGCTTGATTTTATACCGAGGTGGCCACGAAGGATAATATAGTATATTCTGCTCTGAGATTTTTATCACGCAAAACAACCACACTTTGAGTGTCAAGTGCGTCATGCTGTAATTCAGCAAGCCTTGGGATACGAAAAGGGGATGTAAACCATGTTCTTTTCGTGTGAGTTGCGGTAGTTACATCACTATGAGCAACGACGCATGATTTTTATAAATCACGAGCGACCTAATGCCAAGCAGATGCACCACGTACTTTATAAGATTTTACTTCACTGCAAGTCAATGGTTGTCATGAGCTGAGATTTGTCTCTGTCACATTAAGCTGGTGAGACTCAAAGGCTATCTTGCAGCGGGGCTGCCGTAGCAAAACGCTTGAGGAAGCGTACTTTAGGTCACTGAGCTTTCGTTCTTGACAAGAACAAAGTACTAGTGCAGCGGATCGCAATCCGCTGCCTCCAAGAGTACTTAAAAACCTTAGCCAAGGCAAACGAGCACTTCTGTACAAAATCAAAACTGATTTTTATTTATCTTTCTATCCTATTTTTAAAACTTTAGATTTTCTTAAATTTACCAAATATATATAGTTAAATCTAAATATGCATAAGAACTGGCTACCTAGCCACATGCCGTATTCTTGTTTGAGTGCACTCACACCATGCAGATCTCGTGTGACACACACCCCTATTATCAGGGTACGTGTAACCCCGTTACACCCTCCCCCATTAAAACTGAGATAATATACAGTTCCAATCGATTACTGCCTCAACGAGGCTCGCGTGTCCGTTAGACACTGCAACTCAATTAGTTGGTCTACTT